CCCTGGAGGCCGCCCGTGTGTCCGTCCTGTATCAGCCTCCAGGGCACCCACCCCCCCTCCCCGCTGGATATGTAATGGCGCAAGTATAGCCCAAGGAGGGTTCCAATTACCGAGTATAGCCCACGGAGGGCTTCAGTTCCCGAGGATAGCCCACGGAGGGCTTCTGTCCCCAAGTTTAGCCGAGTGAAGGCTCCTGTCCCCGTTCTTAACCCAAAGAGGGCTCCAGTCCCTGAATCCCCTCCAGAGCGCCCTCAAGTGCCCAGTCCTTTAGCCGAGTGAATGCTCCTGTCCCCGTGCTTAGCCCAAAGAGGGCTCCAGTCCCTGAATCCCCTCCAGAGCGCCCTCAAGTGCCCGCTCCTCCAGAGCGCCCTCCAGAGCGCCCCTCAGGATTCCTAGTCTTCCCCAAGAAAATTGGGGGGGCCCTGGAGGCCTTCCGTGTGTCTGTCCTGTACCAGCCTCCAGGGCGCCCACCCCCCCCTCCCCGGTGGATATGTTACAACACGCCTACCAGGAGGGGGGAGTTATGTCAGACTCTGTTCCGTGTTTTGTGTTTCCATGTCCATATTTGGTCCTTCCTGTTCCTGTCCTAATTTTTCCCAATGTGTTGCAGGTGTGTCTAGTTATCATCCTCGTTTCCCTGTGTATTTAAGTTCGAGTCTGTGCAGTCTGTCTTTGTCCTGTGTGCTTTATTTGGATAAATAAAGGTCTGTTTCATATTAATCCTCTTCGTCTCCGCGCTCCTTTGTCTCCTCGTCTCCAGCACAGTAGGCAGTCGTGACAGTATCACAGGTTCTAAAAAATATGAAGCAGCACAACAGTTTCCAGCATTGATAATAAATCAGCATATTAGAATGATTTCTGAAGGATCATGTGACGATGACGACTGGAGTAATGATGCTGAAAATTCAGCACTGCATATTATATTTTAAAGTATATTAAAAAAACAATATTAGGAATTTAAATAGGCTAATATTTCACAGTATTATTGTTTTTTTATTGTGTTTTTTATCAAATAAACTGTTGTTTGTGGAGATCTTGCTGATTCCAGTAGTTGTCACAGAGCTCACACAAAGCTATACAGAAAAAAACAAGCTATTCACAAGCAGCAAATGACACCCAGTGGCCCACCTTTTGTTCTAAACCCTAATTAAAACGAAAGCATGAGCTCACGATCCTCCTTATTTGCTATCAATAACAGCATTCATGAATTTCAGTCCCACAGTGTCAACTCTCTCTTTTCTTTTAACTCTCGCTGGTTTCATGGCTCAGTTTCTCTCTCAGAGTTCCCTGTTCACTGATGTGTTATAAACGAAGCTGTTAATTACATTAGCATAATATCAGGTCACTGCTGTTCAGGTTATCAAATTTTCATAAGTCAATCCAGATTTGGTACTCACACCCTATTTGTATTTTTCCGTAGCTTCATAGACCTCATTGTACTCATTGTTTTTTATGTTTTTTTAAATGTATTTTTTATTGTTATGAATTAACAGACAATGGTTTTCTGAATGAAATTTATTCTTCTTACATTTACAAATAACACCCATCACTATGGAGGCCATGGGATACAAAATAAACAAGTTAGTTGCGAGATACAAATCCAGAATTGTGAGAAGCTCATAATTCAGAGAAAAAATTCGAGATAAACATGAAACTGATTTAAAAAAAAAAAAAAAAAGAATCTCACAATTCTGAGTTTACCTTTCGCAATTCTGTTCCTGCACTTCATGGTTTCCATCACAAAATTAAAAACCAAAAAAAAACAAGAAAGGTAGTTGTGACTTTTTATCTCACAATTTAGACTTTTCTTAGAATTGCAAGAAAAACATTTTGCCAGAAACCTGGTTAACATGAAAGTCTGTGCTTTTGACATTTAAGTGCTAAGTAGGCCAACGGATCTTACGTTTTCTTTGACGTTTCGCATGGCTCTTTTAATAACTGTTTTTCTCATCACATCCACACCCTTGTGTCCTCTTGTGTGGCCTTTGGATATTTCTATCAACTAGTTTCCTGGGAAACACTAGTCTCTCAAAGACTGACGCGCACACAAACACACCCACTAATCTGAGCGCGTAATGGGCCAGACTGGGAGACCTGCCTCTGATAAGTCAAGTCAAGTCAAGTCACCAGGGGATATATTCACACGTTATAGAAACGAAAATGATGGTGTATAAAATTGATTTTAAGATAAAAAAATTAGACGACAAAGAATTAACTTGACGGAGCTCAAACTCAAACTCAAAACACACGGCAGCAACAAACAGGAAGTGTTTATTGAATAATGCCACTTTACACTCGCTCGCTCCAGTCCTGCGCCATTATCATCGCAGCACCACAAAAACTGTCAGCAGAGGCGGGCCACAACAAAGCAGCCTTACGGAGGGGGAAAAAAAACCATCATCTGGTCAAAGCAATTGTTGGCAGCAGGATGGTGCGCCATTGAAAATAGAGGAACATGTAATCACTTTTTTCCATATTTGGCCCAGTTTTGCTGCTTGTATTGAAATGGCAGTAGCTCAGAATGGCAGAAGTGTGGGGTTGTTTCTGAAATTAAAACGCAAGCTTTGCATTAGAGCTCCAGCTTTTGTACACATGCTCATTTCGGTAATTATTTTACTTGACATTTCTGTAGCTGTAAGTGAAACACATTTGTCTGAGCCTGACGCCTGTACATTATGGCCAGGGAGCTCTTCACATTCATACCGGTTTATTAGCTAATGTCGCTGAATTAATATGAACTCTGTAAATGTCACCGGGAACAAATTCATCTCATCTAATGGTCGAGCTCACATAGACTTTTTTTCTGCACTGATTTAAGTCTGCAGAAGGGTTTAAAATCAGTGTGAAATATTAATTGACACTATATCTTTCTTAACCCTTGTGAAAAAGAAGTACGCTTTAGCATCCTAGTAGTACAGTTAAACATACTTCTGTCTCACAAGAGAATGCATGTTTCTTGTGTTATTGTAAACAGTCTATTTAAAATGTCTGTCTTTGCATTGTTTTTATATTATTTTATGTGTGCTCTGCAACAGATTTCCTCTCCTTGTTAAACCCTCCTTATTTCTCTATGTAACAAACAAATTCCTAATGGATACAAACAAGTCCTATCCCACTTTTTTACTCATTCAGTATCCATTTACACTCTGAAATATGTCTGTTTCACATTTCACTGAGTGCTGAGAGTGCTGCACTCTTACTGATAGCTGAAAGCATCAAATCAAAACTAGATATTTTTTTTTATATATAAAATGCATAACATAAGTATTGAAATGGAGACGTTTGTGAATGATTGCTGTTTGATTCCTACAAAAAAAATCTTCTCCACATGGCCTTTTTTCCCCCAAAGATCAGGATGTTATGCATATCTCCATTGCTCCAGAGAGGTGATTATGGAAGAACATGACACTTGTCTGGTTTGAGATGCCTAGAGCTCGCCTGAGGCTCATCCGTGGATGTTTAGCATAAACATACAGTGCACCTAATAAAATATCATCTGTTGTCTGTATATGTGACCCTCAACCACAAAATCAGGTATACGGTTCAATTTTTTTGAAATTGAGATTCATACATCATCTGAATGCTGAATAAATAAGCTACGTGTTTATTCTTAAATACTTAAATAAACAAATAAACTTAAATTTGGCCGAGATACAACTATTTGAAAATCTGGAATCTGAGGGTGCAAAAAAATCTAAATATTGAGAAAATCTCCTTTAAAGTTGTCCAAATGAAGTTCTTAGCAATGCATATTACTAATCAAAAATGAAGTTTTGATATATTTACGGTAGGAAATGTACAAAATATCTTCATGGAACATGATCGTTACTTAATATCCTAATGATTTTTGGCATAAAAGTAAAATCAATAATTTTGACCCATACAATGTATTGTTGGCTATTGCTACAAATATACCCCAGCGACTTAAGACTGCTTTTGTGCTCCAGGGTCACATATGAGCCAGTTAGACATCGTCGGTCGCAGCTTACACTTTTTTTTTCAGCAGTATTACATGCAAGTTTTATAATATCTCGCTCTCTTTCTTTGTGCAGCAAAATACAGTCAGGCAGCAAACTGGTGCTGAGCGTCACGACCGATGTCTGCCAGGGCAAAGACAACTTTGTGCGCTATCTGGAGCATGTGCAGGCCGTCATCACCGTCAACGCCAGCCGCCGCGGAGACCTCAACATAAACATGACTTCACCGATGGGGACCAAGTCCATCCTGCTGAGCCGCCGACCCCGGGACGACGACGCCAAGGTGGGCTTCGACAAGTGGCCCTTCATGACCACCCACACGTGGGGTGAGGACCCTCGAGGAGCCTGGCTGCTGGAGGTGGGTTTCCAGGGCGAAGCCCCGCAGAGCGGCGTGCTGAAGGAGTGGACCCTCATGCTGCATGGAACACAGAGTGCCCCTTACATAGACCAAGTGGTGCGGGACTACCAGTCCAAACTGGCCATGTCCAAAAAAGAAGAGCTTGAGGAGGAATTAGACGAAGCTGTGGAGAGAAGCTTGAAAAGCCTTTTGAGTAAAAGTAACTAGCCACGTGCATGAAAATATCCTCTCTGTATTATTCGTATATTCCTAGGCCGTTCACTCTCGGCTTTCTCTTTTTTCTTGTGATTATTTGATGAATGTCTGATGTGAGTCTCTCCTATTAAAGTGTATTCTCTGAATGATACAGCGGCCGCGAAAACCATTTCGACACTTAAGACACGCTTGGAAACGTTTGAACATCATTGTGCCAAATATCACAGCAAGTGGCATTTACATTAATGAAAGACAGCACAAGCACACTGTATAAGCATACACTTTACAAAAAGACCTTTGTCAGGTTTCAATACAGTTCAAACATCTACTAAAAGTCATCTGGACAGCAGCTGGTGAAGTCATTGCAGCAGTACCTCAGAAAGTTAGTTCTGAGAAAACCTCTAGCATCATTTGTATAGAGTTTGTTTTTAAATGTGTGACTTGAGTGTCCAAATGCGTTTTTTCGCACCGCTGTATGTCCCGGCGAGAAAATATGGCATCTTACTTTCGATGTTCCTTTTTTACACTTTACAGAAATGTATATAAACCAAATATATCAATACTTTATTATGCTCTTGCTTACCCTGCTGTCCCCCACCTCTGCTGTACAGTTTGTGACTCTAAATAATTTTGTGTGATTCTCCTTTAAAGTTTAGTCTCTTGCGGTGATATTTCTTTATTTGTTTGTTTTTTTCTTTTTCGTGAGGAGAAGATTTTTTTTATTTGTATTTTATGAAGAGATGAAATGCACATCATTCTACTGCTTATGGCCAAACAAAGCATATTTCATAGCATTGTCTATATATAATAAATCTATTTAGCTGTTTGTTAAAGCACCCGAGTGACTAAGACAGTAATTTCCCAGTGGGTTGGGTGATGTGGGGTACAGTGGTTGAAAGTCTAACTTGGTAAACGCAAATCGATTTATCATAGCAAATAATTTCCAAGAAGATAACAGCTAGCAGTTTTACCATTTTAAACACAGCTCATCCAATCAGAATTATAAGTACACTTTAGGTACACATAAACAGGTACATTTATTGTTAATAATGGTAACACTTTACAATAAGGTGTCATTTGTTTACATTAATGTATTAACTAACATGAACGAACAATGAACAATTAATTTATTACACTATTTATTAAGCTTTGTTAATGTTAGTTAATAAAAATACAGCTGTTCATTGTTTGTTCATGTTAGTTCATAGTGCGTTAACTAATGTTAACAAACACAAATTGTGATTTTAATAATGCTGAAATGAACATTAACTAGGATTAATAAATGCTGTAAAAGAATTGTTAATTCGTAGTTCATGTTAACTAATGTAGTTAATTAATTAACCTTATTGTAAAGTGTTACCATAATAATAAACATAAATATAATTCCTCTCCTAAGTAATATATTTCATTATCTTTACTCTGGGCTGTTTTGGTTTCCAATCAATGTAGTTGCAGTGTTCATTTTTGTAGTTTCAGGTGTGTTTATAGGCATTTTAAGACTTGACGTTGTACCTTGCTTATCTTATTTTAAAGCTATCTGTTTTTTTTAAATTGGTAAGAACAAATACATCTCTGGCAAAAAAAAAAAAAAGTGCATTGTGCCCAAGCCAGAGTCATCTACTGAATTCTGAATGTGATATTTCAGTATTTTCTCTTCACCTTGGACCTTGCATAGAAAATTATGCAAAGGTCACATCTGTATCCCGCAAGGTCCGTTTCATGAAAAATTTATGAGTTTCTTTTTGCAACTGGCTCATGCAGAAAAGTGAAAGATCTTTGCTTGATGGTTTAACTAACTGAACTCTACAAGGGGCTGCTAGTAGTATACTTAAGTGATATTTAAGGTTCTGATTTAACATACATATATATATATATATATATTTAAAGCTGCATTGTCATTTTTACTGCCCTTTAGTCATCTTTATAATCAATCAATACAGTAGTGGTCTTGGACTTGTCATCTATTGTTGTGGATGCTCCACCATACAAAGTTATCAATGACACTGTCTAAAGTAGAGGGTTTACTGAGTTACCGAGGGTGAGTAGAATGCAGCTGGTCATGTGATCTCAATACGGCAGCCGCCATGAACCCCAGCTTTCCTTAGAACGCTCATCTCTAGAAAGTGTCAACATCATTTTAAACATTTCTCTCTTTTTTTCAGTTTGCTTCCATCAGGGGTCGCCACAGTGGAATAATCTGCATAACCAATTTAGCATGCTTTACACAGGATGTTCTTCCTGCCACAACCCAGCACTAAGAATGCACTAACTCATGCTACCTCAGTGCTACGACACACTCACTCATACCTACAGTACATATGGTGCATGTCTTTGGACTGTGGGGGAAACCAGAGAACCCAGAGGAAACCCATGCAGACATGGGGAAAACACACAAGACACACACAGAACGGCTTCCTGGCTGAGACAAAATCCAGTTGTTTCTAAAACAAGCAATGATTGTAAGAAGAGTGACAGATAGTCGGGGCTTAATTTTTGCTGGTGTTGTGCCCATTTTCGACCGACTGCCAAATTATTACTCCCTAATTTAAATCGCTACCTAATTGCCTAATCAACCCCATACCTAACCCTACACCTACCA